GCGCGGGGGGGGGCCCAGCGCCGCAGGTTCTAGGCGCGCCAGCCGGTTGCCCGCCAGTGAGAGGGCGCGCAGTGCGCGCAGCGGCGAGAAGGTGCCGGGCGTCAGGGCTTCCAGCTGGTTGGAGCTGAGGTCGAGCCTCCGCAGTGCGACCAGGCCCCAGAAGGCTCGCGCGTGCACCGAGCGCAGCCCGTTCTGGCGCAAGTCCAGGTGCAGCAGCGCGCCCGCGCCCGCAAAGGCGCCGGGCGGCAGCGCGTGCACGCGGTTGTGGTCCAACAGCAGCGCGCGCACGCGCCCGTTCAGGCCGGCAGGGACCGCGGGCAGTGCGAGGGCTGAGCAGTTGGCTTGGCCGCCCGGCGCGCACACGCAGGCCTCAGGGCAGCCCAGGGACCCCGAGGGGGCTGGCGCGGAGGGCGCCGTGGTCCAGACTGGCCAAGGCGCCAGCAGGAGCCACAGGAGCGGCGGGGGCCGCGAGAACGAGGGGCTCCTCATGGACTCAGCCCGGGCTGCGGAGCCTGCTGTCTCTGAGTCCTGGACCTGTGTCCCTAGCCGGTCACAGCGGCGCCTGCACAAATATTAACTCTCCAGCAGGAGCTCCGCGGTTCCTGGCCCACAGCTGGTCGCGCCTGGGGCGGGGCAGGCACACAGCCAAAGCTGGGGACTGCCAGCCACCTGTCCCAGAGCTCCAGGCTTTTCTCCGCACGGCACCAGGCATGGCCCTGGCGAGACCACCCCTACGAAGGCCCTTCATTGCCTGTGCCCACTGAGGTCTGAGCAATGGGCTCTGCTTACCCACATGCACACGCAGAATGCGCCCCATGCACCTGCTCCTCAAGCCAGACTTGGCCTGAGTGCAGGAAAGTGACCCAGTACGGCACACCGCATGGCGCCAGGTGGGCTGGGCCTTGCCCATGGCGGACGTTTGGGACCACCTGATGGGGACCTGGCGGAGGACACAGGCTTTGGGGTGGAAGGAACACTGTGCCAGAGGCAAGGAAGGGCTGCAGGGGCAGGTGGGTGTCTGCCCCAAGGGCTGTCCTGGAACCTCCAGGGGACAATGTCTGTAGAGTGGAGCAAGCGTCACCAGCTGCCAGTGCAGGCATGTCTTGGGAGGGGTGGGGCAGGAGGGCACAGATCGGGGCCAAGCAGCAGGTAGGGGCAGGGTGGGCAGGGCGAGCAGGCCAGCTATGCAGGACGGGTAGAGCACTGGGGCCCAGGGCACAGTAGGCACCCCCACTGACCACAGACGACCCAGGCATACGCTCCTGCCCCGTGATGTGGCTTCGTGGGGAGTGCGGAGGAGCATGCAGGAGGACAGTGAGGCCACCAAATGCTGTTTAATCCCTGCCCCAGTAGGCTTGGCCCTACTCAGGGGGTGGGGGTGGGGGTGGAGGCTCCTCCAGCGAAGCCTCCATGGTCAAGAGGCTGTGGTCCTCCAGCGGTGGCATCGTGGAGGCCTCCAGGTCGGGGTCCATGAGGTGCGACTCCACATGCACCGTGTGCAGGTCCATGCGGTCCTCCTGGACCCCGAAGTGCCCCACCACCCTGCAGGACACGGCCAGCTCAGTGCAGGCTGGCAGGGCAGGCACGGCTCACCCCGGGGCCCACCCAGCACTCACCTGTTGTCCATGCGTCCAGGGCATGGGGGCTCACTGAGTGGGGAGAGGTGGGTGTGAGTCCTGGGATGGTGCTGGCCTCCAGGAGCCCACCGTGCCCCTGTCCCCAACACATGCACTGGGAACGCCATTCTCAGCCCCTCATGACACCCCCGGCAGAGGTTCCCTCAGCAAGACCGAGACCCAGGGCCAGCAGCATGGCCTCGCGCCCACCCGCCCCACCCCAGCCTCGCGCCCACCAGGCCCGGCCCGGCCTCGCGCACTTCTTGGCTCGCAGGATGCCGACCGCCACGATGACCAGGGCACAGAAGCAGCTGGCGCTGACGCCTGCCAGGAGCGCGATCAGGGCAACGAGGGCCTCGCGGCTGAGGCCCAGGCTGCACTCACAGTAGTTTCCAGCTGCAGAGACAGGGCCGCGTGGCCAGGGAGGCCGGTCACCCACAGGTAAAGGGCCACCAGGCCGGCCCAGTCCCAGTGGCCCCCAGAGGACAGGAAGGGAGCCTGGCTGGGCATGCGGGAGGTCAGGCACCTGCAGCAGGGATGAGCAGAAAGGATAGACATATCAGGCCCAGGGGACTGCCGACCAGGCAGGGGACAGGCTGGGGACAGGGGGCCATGTCCAGCCCCCGGCCACTGCACACCTCCAGACGGAACTCGCCGGAAGGCGCTGACCTCACAGTAGGGCTCTGAGGCTGGGTGGGGCAAGGCCTTGGAGTTCCTGACCGGAGTGTGCGTAGACCCCCTGGCGTCCAGTTCGAGCTCTGGACAGAAAGCCCTGGGCTAGAGCGGGTGGGGTGGACAGGGCCTGGGGCAGGGGCTGGGTCTGAGCCCGGGGGCAGTGTAGACCTTGGGGGAGGCAGGCCCCCTGTGGAAGCAGGTGGCTTAGAGATGGCTTTGGGTCTCTCCAAGGCTTGGTCTATGCATGCCAGCAAATTCCCCTGCGGCCCGAGAGTGCGCCGCTGCAGACCAGGCAAGTACTGGCCAAGTCAGGGTTGGCTCTGCCTGCTGCTGAGGGAAGAGGGGTCCCAGGCTGGACTGGAGAGGGTGACCCACAGGCCCTCCCCCCTCCTCTCAGCGTTGGGAGGGGATGCTTGCCTCACAACTAGGCCTTGCCTGCTCAGGCCTCAAGACGCCAGGGCAGGGGGGCATGGGTGGCCAGCGGCCCTGGTCACCAGGGACCTCGCTGGCCATTGACATAGTGTCCTCCTGGTGGGATCCTCAGGGACCAGCAGCTTTTACCTTGTGGGGGATGTCCTGGAGATGTACCCTGGCCTTTGGGACAGGGCCAGAGGCCGAGTGAAAAGGGACACGGAACAAGAGTTGGGCCTGGGGCCAGCGGCTGGCGCTGCTACCTGCCAGGCCAGCCCAGCAGGTTCGCGGTCTGGCGGGACAGCAGCCTACCCACAGGCCAGGTGGTGTGTGGACAGCAGGATCCAGGCAGGCATCAGAGCAGTCAGGGCCCCCTCTGTGGCCACAGCAGAGCTGAGTGAAGCCCAGGGCGGGCGGGGCTGCAAGGGAAGGCCACAGGCCCTGGGAACAAGCCCTCCTGGGCTGCACCCGCGAAGACCATCCCTGCAGCCCTGCGGCAGCAGACATGGGGAGCCAGGAGAGGGAGTGTCCTGGCAGAGGCCTGCAGCCCAGAACAGGCTCAGACTGGGCCAGGGCTGGGGACGGGGAGGCAGAGGCCCTGCAGACTCAGGGCAGTGACAGGTGGGGACCAGGAAGTGTCTAGGACAGCAGGAGTGGCTGTGCTGGGAATGCACTTCTGGCCAAGGCAGGACAAGGCGGTGTCAGTTCCAAAGGGCCTTTGTCCCCAGGAGGACACAGAGCCATCAGGCTGTTTCCCACCGGAAACAGCTCCTCCAGGCTAAGGCGCAGGGCTGAGCTGAAGGGCCCTGCTTTGCCCAAGATGGTCTGACCTGCCGGCCATGCTAGGAAGGGAACAGCTGGCCTCTGGGCTCTCTTGTTCCCGCCACGGTCATGCACTTGTGGTGTTTGGGGACAGGGAAGTACCCTGCCCCTCCCAGAATCCTGAACTGCGGCTGCCTCCCTCTCAGTCCAAGTGGCACAGGTAGGCCCTTGGGGCCAAGACACACCCTCAGGGCTCAGGAAGTGACTCAGGTGTTCTCGAGCAGTCTGGTAGTGTCACACGAGGTCCCAGCCGCACCCACCTGCACAGGGGCTGATGGGGCACAGTGAGGACAGACCTGGAGCCCTGGCAGTCCGGGGGCTTCCAGACAGTCACCCTTCTCACCTCAATCCCTCCTGCCTGAGCCCACAGGCCCCGGAGGCCTGGAGGTGAGAGGCCCAGAGGGCCTAGCTGCCTGGGTGGCCCTTGCCTGCCCTTGGGGGCCCAGGTCCTGACCGAGGTGGGGAAAGCAGCCTGAGGAACTCGAGCTCATGTTGGGCCACAAAGTCACCAGGACAGGAAAGGGTGACAGGATTTGTTTTAATCTGCACAATAAGGGTGGGAGGGGCCAGGTGGGGAAGCAGGGCTGGGGGTGGAGGGAGCCCAGCTGGGGAGCAGGGTGGTGGGGACAGAAGGGAATGGGAAGGGAGAGCGGGGGCTGTGGGGCTGGAAAGGGGCAGGGGTGGAGCAGGGTCCCAGGGATGAAGGGGTCATGGGAGTGGGGTGGGGAAGCGGGGCGGTGGGGATGCAGGGTGGGCTCAGCTGCAGCTCCTGGGCAGGGGGGAGACGCCCGGCGCGCGGAG